TGCCCAGGCTGGAGTACAGTGGCACAATCATAGCTCACTGTAACCTTGAACTCCTGAGCTCAAGAGATCCTCCTCTCTCAGCCTCCCAAGTAGCTGGGACTATAGGTATGTACTGCCATGCCTAGCTAATTATTATTATTAATTTTTTTTTTTGTAGAGACAGGATCTCCCTATGTTACCCAGGCTGGTCTAGAACTCTGGTCTCAAGTGATCCTCTTGCCTGAGCCTTCTAGACTGCTGGGATTACAGGCATGGGCCACAGCGCCTAGACTTCTTTTTGTAATATAGATGTTCAAGGCTATTAATTTTCTCTCCAATTGCTGCCTCAGCTACATTCCTCAACTTATTTTCATTATAAAAAGTTTGAAAATGTTTTCTATATTTATTTAAACTAATTTTTATTGCTTCTTTTTTGGCTCACAAGCATTTGAAACTGAATTTCTATTTTTTATGACTTTTAAAAAATTGAGTTTTACTTTATATTCAGTGAAATGCACATATCATATGTATTGTTTGATAAGTTTTGCCAAATGCAGATACCTGTTTAAATCACACATCTGTTAATATAGAGACCATTTTCGTGACAGCAAAAACATATTTTTTTCTATCAGTTCTTGCCCTTCCCCGCACAACCTGAGGCAAGGACTCTTGATTTTTAGCATCACAGAGTAGGTTTGTCTTTTATAAAATTTAATATAAATGGAATCATACTATATGATTCTCTTTGTGTGTAGCTTCTTTTCTTCATTACATTGTTTTTGAGTTTTTTTCATGTCATTGCTTATATTTTATTGCTGTTCTCTTCCTTCCTCTATTTCTTCTTCTTCTTCCTTGTTCTCCTCCTCCTCTTTCTTCATAGTGTCACATTTCATGAAAATACCACAATTTACTTACCCATTCTCCTGTTGATGGATATATGGGCTGTGTTTCCAGTTTGGGGCAAATATGAGTAAAGTTGGTATGAGCGTTTTTGTACGAGTGTTTCTGTAGACTGTGTTTTTCTTTCTCTTGGGCAAATACCTGGGAGTGGAAATGCTGAGTCATCTGGTAAATGGGTATTTGCCTTCATAAGAAGCCAAACAGTTTTCCAAAGAGGTTCTACCATTTTATACGCCTAGCAGGAAAATCCTAATATTTGACATTTTATGCCTTTTTAATTTTAATTATTCTAGTGAGTAAAATATTGAAGTTGTTTTAAAATCAGTTTTATGATTTTACAATGTAAAATTTACATAGAAATAAGGCACACATATTATTGCACAAAATTTGGCAAGTCTTGACAAATGCACACACCTGTGTGTATAACTACCACCCCAATCAAGATACAGAACGTTTCTCTCGCCTCAGAAGATTTCCTTACGCATCTTTACAGTCAATTACACCCACTTCTGCCTTAGGTAACAATCTCATTTCTACCACTCTAGATTGGCTTTGCCTGTTCCAGAATTTTCCATAAATGGAATTACAGATGATGTTCCCTTTTTTTGTATGGCTTCTCTCAGCACAATTTTTCGGAGATTCATCCATATTTTTGTGTCTAAGGTAATTTATTCTTTTTGACTGTGGGTATGCCACTACTTGTTTATTCATTCTCCTGATGATTGACTTTTTTTTTAGTTTCTGGCTAATTATAAGCAAATCTATGAATATTCTTGTACAATAATTTCTTGGATCTATGTTTCTATTTCTCTTGGGTAAACTTCTAGAAGTAGAACAGCTAGACTATATGAGAGGTGTTTGTTTAACTTTTTAAGAAACTTGTTTTTCAAAGTAGTTATCTATCAATACCTGTGAAAAGAAGGGAAGAGGAAAACCAAAGAAAATAAATAAAACAAAATGGCTACATAATTTTATATTCCCAACAAAAGCGTATGAGAGTTTCCGTTGCTTTACAACCTTGCCAACACTTGGTATGGTTTTCTTAATTGTAACTATTCTATTCTGAGTGTAACGGTTTAATTTGTGTTTCCTTGATCACTTGATAGTTGTTAATGTTGACCATCTTTTCACATGCTACATATTCTTCTATGAAGTATCTGTTTAAACATTTCACCAGTTTTTGTGGACTATCTTCTTATTACTGAGATGTAAGAGATATTTACATATTCTTTTCATAAATCGTCAAATATTTTCTCCTAATGCATAACATACCATATTATTTACTTAAATAGACCTATTATTAATAAACAGATTTTATTTCTAATAAAATCCAGCTTATCAATTTTTTATGGTTAATGTTTTCCTTGTTTTAGCTAAGAAACCTTTGCCATTCCAAGTTCATAATTGTATTTTCCTTTATCTAGAGGCTCTGTAGTTTTAACTTTTCTTGATCCATCTCAAATTAATTTTTGTGTACCTTATGAGGTGAGCATCAAGATACATTTTTTTCTCCGTACAGGTATCCAATTGTTCCAGCACCATTTTTTTTTTTTTTAGAATTTTTTCCCATTCATTTCTTCTAGTGCCTTTGTAAAAATGCAATTGACTATTTATTATTAAATTCATTTCTGACTCCATACTATTTTATTTGACTCTCTGGCTATCTTTACATTAATAGCACATTGTCTTGATTATAATATCTTTATAGTAACCAGCAATGTAAGTCCTCCAAATTGGTTCTTTTTTTCAAGATATTTTTGATTTATTTTTCTACTATTCTTTTATGTCCTTTGCATTTTCATGTACATTTTATTATCAGCTTCTCAATTTCTACCAAAAAAACAAAAATCAAAACAACACATGCTGGAATGTGGTTTGAGATTACATTGACTATAGATCAATTTGGGTATAGAGATAGATCATCCATGACCACGGTGTATTGCTCCATTTAGTCTGGCTTTCAAAAAGTTCTTTCAGGATTGCTTTCAAACTTTATATGTAGAGATTTGTTCATTTTATCTTCTGAGACAGAATCTCAGCCTATTGCCCAGGCTGGAGTGAAGTGGCATGATCTTGGCTTACTGAAGCCTTGACCTCCTGAGCTCAAGCAATCCTCTTGTCTCAACCTCCAGAGTAGCTGGGGCTGCAGGCGCATGCCACCATACCTGGCTACTTTTTCTTTTTTTTTTAAGAGATGAAGTCTTACTATGTTGCCCTGGCAGGTCTTAAACTCTGGGCCTCAAGTGATCCTCCTGCCTCAGCTTTCCAAAATGTTGGGATTATGGGAGTGAGCCACTGTACCCAGCCTATATGTAGAGATTTTAAACAAATTTTGTCAAATGTCTTACCAAGTATTTTATGTTATTTGCTGATTGTGTGAGAGTTCTTGAATTTCATTTTTAAGTTTTTTATAGCTAGTATATAGAGATACAATTTACTTTTATATATTGACCTTGTAGACTTTGACTCAAAGTTTGTATTTTATTAAAAGTGAGTTTTTTGTAAGTTCCTTAGGAATATCTTTATTTGTAAGAAGAGACAATTTTGCTTCTTCTTTTCCAGTTTTTATAAATTATCTTTACTTGCCGTATTTCACAGGATCGGACTTCCAATACAATGTTGGCTGCAAGTGGTGAGGGTCCATACTCTTGCCTTGATGTTGGAGGGAAGCATCTGGTCTTTCACCTTTAAGTGTGATGTTAATTAAAGGTTTTTCTTAAGACGGTTTTGCCAAAGTTTAAAGTTTCCTTTCATTCCTAGTCTGCTGAGAGTTTTAATTATAAAATGCTAAATTTTAACAATTATTTTTTCTGCAGTTATTGAGATGATCAAATTATTTTTCTCCTTAACTCTGTATATATGATAAACTATATTGATTGACTTTCAAAATGTGAAACTAACCTAGCATTCTTGTGGTACGTCCCACTTAGCAATGATACATTATCTTCTTTATGCTGGCTAGATTTGATTTGCTGGCTGCTAATTAAATTTGTTAAGAATTTTTGCATTTATATTCATGAGAATTATTTGTCTATGATCTTATTTTCTTGTACCTTACTGGTTCCCTACTCTTTTGAAAGAGTTTGTTTAATATTGGCGTTATTTCTTAAATGTTTGAAATAAATCAGTAATAAAACCATCTGGACTTCGAGTTTTCCTTAGGAAAAAGTGTTAAACTATGGATTCAATTTTTAAAACATTAATGAAGATTTTCTTTTTGTACTAGTTTCCGTAATTTTTATCTTTCAAAGAATTTGTCCATCTCATCTAGGTTATTGAGTTTGGTGGTATAACCTTGCTCAAAATGTTTCTTTTTTATTCTTCACTGTCTGTTGAATCTATAGTAATGTTCCTTTTTTCATTACTGTTATTTCTTACCTTTTTTGTATTGATCAGTCTATCTAGGGCCTTCTTAATTTTGTTTATCTTTTTGAAGAACTGACTTTTCGTAATGTTGGTTTTCCTTATTTTCTTTTTTCTGTTTTATTGACTCTGGCTTTAGTCTTGTTTTCTACCTTCAATTTATTTGAAGTTTAAATTTCTTTTCTTTTTCTAGCTCATTAAAGTGGGAATATATATCAGTTAATTTTTAAATCTTTCTTTTCTTATATATTCATTTAAAGCTCTAAATTTCCTAAGCATTTCTTTATCTGCATCCAACATGTTTTGGTATGTTATGTTTGCAATACTATTCAGTTCAAAATATTTTTTAATTTTCTCTGTGATTGTTTTTTTCTTTCTGATCTATGGTTATTTAGACGTTTTTATTTTTAATTTCTAAGAACTGTGGATTAAGAAAATGGAAGATTTCACGAATTTGCATGTCATCCTTGTACAAGGGTCAGGCTAATCTCTGCATTATTTCAATATTAGTCTATGTGCTGCTGTAGAAAGTACTTGTGGATTTTACATGTATCTCTCATTTACTGATTTCTAATTTACTTCCACGTAGAGAGAATATTGTCTATGAAATTTAAGTCTTTTTGAAATGTATTGAGACTTACCTTATGGCTCAGCATATGATCTATTTCGGTTAATATCTGACGTGCCCTTGAAAATAACGTACGTTCTGGAGTTGTTGGTTATTGTGTTCTGCAAACATCAATAAAGTTAAGTTAGTTGACCTAATTCATATCTTTGCAAATCTAAGATTTTTTTTTGGTTTACTTGACCTGTCACTTCCTGAGGGAGTAAGTTTTTATTGTTGTTGTTGTTCAGACAGGGTCTCACTCTCTTGTTCAGGCTAGAGCATGGTGGTACAAACATGGCTCACCTCACCCTTGAACTCGGGCTCAAGTGATCCTCTCACCTCAGCCACCTGAGTAGTTGGGACTACAGGTGCATGCCAGCCTGCCCAGCTAATTTTAAAATTCTTTGTAGCGATGAGGTCTTGCCATGATGCCCAGGTTGGTCTTGAACTCCTTGGCTCAAGTGATCCTCCTGCCTAGGCCTCCCAGAGTGATGGGATTACAGGTGTGAGCCACTGCATCTGGCCAAGAGAGTAATATTAAATCTCCAGCTGAATATCTGTCTCTTTCTCCCTTTAGTTTTGTCAGTTCTTACTTCAGGTATTTTGAAACTTTCTTACCTATTTATACATTTAAGACTTTTATATCATCTTAATAAATTGACTCTTTTAAACATGATAGTCCTCCTTGCCTTGGAGTCTGCTTTTTCTTATATTTATATGCCCATTCCAGCTTTTTTATAATTAACATTTACATAGTGTATTGATTCTATTTTTAAAAATTTACCTAATTTTTGTTTTTATTTAAAACACGCTCTCTTTCAAATAACGTATCATTAGGTCTTGCTTTTAACACCTGTGAAAGCTGGAAAAAGGGAAGCCTATGGAGCTGAAATGATGACAATGGTGGATGATGAGGAACAGGCAAGTCCCAAGCTGTAAACCTGGGGAACGGTTTCGTCTAGGAGCTCAGAAGGAGAAGGGACCATGATACCACAAATCTGGGTAAAATCATGTGGAGATTCCCTTTCTCCCTTTCCCTATGGGGAGCTGTGTTATCAGAAGGCAGAGTGTTGGAAGCAATAGAGTTGGGTTTGAGCAGTGGGGTCCAAATATTTCCATCACATCTCCCATTAGTAAAATAAAAATTTAAATCATCTTCCTAATATATGTAAAGTTATTTATTTATAAATTATTTTCATGTACCATAATTGGCTAGTGTCTCAAGGAATAATATGCACTTAGAGTGATGCTTACTTACCATTAAGGACAGTAAACAAATTCATTTTCAAATTATATTCTTGGTCATCCTGAACTTTATGGCTGGCTTCATAGCACATCCGACTATGTGAAAACAAAGTGTGACCTAGAATAGACGAAACACATTGAGATGTTCTAATACTTAACAGTTTGTTCCTCATGCCAGGAGATTTTGTTTTGACACCTATGTTGGAGATCTTGGGCTTAGGGAAAAGGGAAGTCAGGGGGCCTGGCTGAGGTCGGCACCTGGCTTCCTTGAGAAGCTGCCAACTTTGTCACTAGCTGGCTCTGGGACCTTGAGCAAGTTGATTCTGTGGATCTCAGCTATCTCAGATGCAAACACAGGTCTGATCTAATTTCCAATCCCACCTTTCTGTAAGAAGTAGCTCAGTGTAGTGGCTTCTAAAAATCCTGGGTTCAAAACCACTTAACATCTACATGGCCTTGAGTGAATGAATTAGCTTTTCTGAGCTTTGTTTTCTGACCTATAAAATGCAAACACACTTTGCTTGTGAAGATTACTTGAGATTATGTACATAAATAAAAAAACAATATTTTTGTTTATCTCCTATCTCCTACACTGTGGCTCTAAAGTTTTATATGGGGCATCAGAATCCCTGGGAAACTGGAAAAAATACATGTTCTGCCTCCACCCCCCCACCACACCCAGCCCTGCCCCATTCCTCCCATCCTACCGCATCCCTGATTCAGGATCAGAGCTTCTGGGGTAGAGGCCCACAATCTGCATGTATGTATGTATGTATGTATTTATTTATTTATTAGTGATGGAGTCTCACTGTGTCGCCCAGGATGGAGTGTGTGGTACCATCTCGGCTCACTGCAATTTCTGCTTCCCAGGCTCAAGCTATTCTCCTGCCTCAGCCTCCCAAGTAGCTGAGATTACAGGTGCACATCACCCCGCCCGGCTAATTCTTGTATTTTTAGTGGAGACGGGGTTTCACTATGTTGGCCAGGCTGGTCTTGAACTCCTCACCTTAAGTAATCCACCATCTTGGCCTTCCAAAGTCCTAGGGTTACAGGCATGAGCCATGGTACCCAGCCCCACAATCTGCATTGTGAGGGACTCCTGCCTGGTTGCACTGCACCAGCCTGTATACACTGCCTGCCACACCAGAGTCTTGCCCTTGGAAGTGTTCAAAAGAAAACAAGCACAGAGTCTTGCCCTTGGAAGTGTTCAAAAGAAAACAAAAGGGCTAGACAGGAGAAGACAAGCAATGCAAAGGGCCTGTGCTCCTGCGGGCCAAGCAATCCCCAGGCAGGCTGCTCAGTGCACCACCCACGGGTCAATGCTTGCCAGCCCTGCCCAGCCCAGCCCTGCTGGAAAGTTCGCTGTGGTCAGACCATGTTTTTCAGCTCCCTGCTCTCCTTTCCTGTGGCTCTGTTTTGACAGGTGTATCCAGGGCTGGCGCAGCAGAAGTTGCCAGCTCAGCCCTGGCTAGGGACGAGTTGGAGGGAGGGCAGGAGGCGTGCCCAGCCCCCTATGCTGCCCCAAGTTGGAGAGGTCGTGAGGTCACTGGGGTAAAATGAGTGGCCCAGCCTGGGGATTTTAGAAGCACTCAAAGGACATGGACAAGATCTGTGGCTTCCAGCAAGCCCTGCTCTCCTTAGAAGGAGGCCCAGGAGTGACTTCGGGGCTTTGCAAGTCTGGTAGGGATTAAAATCACCCTCATGCTGAAGGCTGGGCTTCCAGTCTTGGGGCTGAAATGCCACCGGCTCTTTGTTACCACTCAATGTGGGTTCAGACTTCGTCACCTTGGCCCTGGCACGTTCCAGAACAGCGATCAAGCAGGGTAGGAGAAGGAGCACTTGGTTAGAAGGGCAGGACAGAGGAACACATGCCAGGCTCAATGGTGGCAAGGCCGGTCCACTCCCTCTGCTTTCTGATGAAGAAACTGAAGGTCAGAGAGGGCCCATGCTAGGCCTAAGGTCCCACAATGATGAAGGGCCAGCAGGGCAGAAGCACAAGCTGCCCAGTTCCCATGGCCACCGAAGTACCTCCCTTGTGGATCCCACCCACTCACCCACTCTGAGGCGGGTTTCATCCATTCACAAAATGTATGAATACAGTGATTCCCAGCATTTGCTTCAAGCTTTACAGTTCTGTCTATCCCCTTAAACCCCGGGGGCTTAAGCAGTACCTAGGGCTGTCCAGATACTCTGAAGGGCCACATTAAGTACTAAGAGCAGTTTGATGTAGGCAGGGAATGGGATTGGGGCAGGAACACCTCCCAAGGAATATGTGTTAGGAAGCTTCCTGAGGACCCTCACCAATAGGAAAAGTCGCCTGAGAACTGGATCTCCCGCTAGCCAGAGACACCAGGCGGGAGTCCCAGTCCCAGATGTGCAGCAAACCCCTCAACTGCTCTCAGTCCTTGGTTTGCTCCTTGGGAAATAAAGGAGTTGAGCCTCAGATCCCCCAGGTCCCTCCTAGCTCTCACAGGTCAGGGAGCATGAAATGAGACATGCAGGGATCTGGCCACTCACCTGCAGAGGAGCACGGAGCACACCCGCTGTGGCCCAGGAAGCTCTTCATCCATGTCCTGAGGACCGCTGTGACAATGGCTGATGTTTATGGTGTGTCGAACATTCTCAGGTGCTGTGGACATCTCAGGTGTCAGTGGGGAGGAGGGACCTCATGCCACACACCACAGAGGAAGCGGTGAGGTCTAGGTGTGGCAGCCATGCTTGGCCCCATCCTCACTCCCCTGCCCTTTTGCTCATTTCAAATGAGCACCAACCCACTAAAAAACACCCCAAAACAAAAAATGGCTGGGTGTGGTGGTTCATGCCTGTAATCCCTGCACTTTGAGAGGCCAAGATGGACAGATCACCTGAGGTTGGGAGTTCAAGACCAGCCTGACCAACATGGAGAAACCCTGTCTCTACTAAAAATACAAAATTAGCCAGGTGTGGTGGCAGGTGCCTGTAATCCCAGCTACTCGGGAGGCTGAGGCAGGAGAATCGCTTGAACCTGGGAGGCAGAGGTGGCGGTGAGCTAAGGTCGCACCACTGCACTTCAGCCTGGGCACCAAGAGGGAAACTCAGTCTCAAAACCAAAAACCAAAAAACAGGGCCCCAATCTTGCACTAGGTCACATTTTGCCAGCCAGCGAGGTTGCTGTGCCGACTCACAGGGGACCTGCTGTCCTCTTCCGTAACCTGCAGACTCTGCCCCTCTGCAATCTGCACCGTAACCTGACCAGGCCCCTCGGGGCAGGTCTGGCCTGGTCTTTACCTCCTTTCCTGTCCTATCTCCTTGTCTTGGAGACAAAAGCCAGAATCAGGAGGTGTCACTCACATGTCCAGGCCTGCCCTGTTTTCCAATCTTGTTTTAGCCAAAGAGCTCCAGGTCCAGGCTGCAAGACGCACTGGGCTTCCCATTTCCTGCTCTCTGCAAGAAATTCCCTGACAGTCTTGGTTCCCAGCTGAGCTCAGTGTTTCTAAAATGGGACTAGGCGCTGAATTTCTAGGGGACCCTCGTCACTGGTTCCGACGAGGACACCTTCAGAGGCCGACCTGGAGTGCAGCCCTGAAGGTGTCATGCCCCCAAGTCAGGCAGGAAGGACTCAAAGCCACCTCACTCCTGGAAACAGCTCTTTACTGATTCAGTAATACTAGGCAGCATGGTATTATCATACATGCACAGGAGCGTTACATGGCCGTGGGGTATGCGGTGCAAACCAGTTGCACATCTGGGACACTCGGGAAGGTGCAGAAAGGCTTTGTGGGGGAGGGTCTGGTCTCTGTGCCCTCAATCTGGGGGGTCTGAATCTGTTTGAATATAAAGGCAAAGCAGCTTGAGAGCGAGTGTAGCCAATAGGAGACCACCACCCTGTGCTTCCCAGTGCCCCTCTCTGCCAGTGTGTACAGAAAGGTGGTGGGGGCCAAAGAGTGATGACAGAGGGGCCTCTGTCCGTGCCCAGGCCCTTCCCGCTTCTAGTCCAGCTGGCTGCCCATGCAGAGAGGGCTCGGGCCATGGTGGGTTCTGGTGGGACCAGGTCAAGCAGCTGTGATCAGGACAGCCTGGTGCAGGAGGCAAGAGCTGCCCAGTTACAAGGGGTCGGCCCTCCTGCAGCCAGAGGGAATGGGAAATGGGACAGGCCAGCCTCAGGGAGAGCAAGGGAGGCAGCTGTGCAGAGAGAACCTTCTGGCCTGCCTGTCTCCCATCTCCACTCAGGCCCAGTGCTCCAGGGCCTGCAGAGTGCCCCCGTGCAGATGAAACTCCTGCTTGGCTTCCTTCCGCGCTGCTCCTGAGGGGCAGAGGCAAGGATGAAGCGAGGAGTTTTCTGGACATGTGAAGAAATGGCTGTTGAACTTCTGCGGGGCCGCTGTGTGCAAGGCCAGAGAATGTGGCTCTCATGGCTCCACTGTGCTGTGACAGGCTGGGACAGCTCCCAGATATCCTGTTCCCCTGATGATAGGGAGGGTCTTTTGGTTGCCAGATCCGCTTTGCCTCTGGAGTTCTGGCTGTCATGCCCCACCCACAAAGGTTTCCTCGGGGCTTCTCAGCCACAGGGAGCCCTGGGAAATTGCTGGCCAGCATGGGTACCCAGAGACAGATGTGAGACCTTCCTCCCGAGGTAGCCGCCTCCCTGGCAGGCTCAGTCACAGGAGAGGGGGCTCTTCCTCTTCCCTCTCCTCCTGCCCAGCCAGGGAAACCCAGTTGGCCCCCCTGGCCAGCAGAAAAATCTGTGTGTGCGCATGTCTCTATATATTTGTATGCATATATGTGTGCCTGTGCGTGTATGTGCACATGTGTGTATGTGCATGTGTGTGCCTGCATGTGTCTGTGAGCATGCGTGTGCTTGCATGTATGTGTGCATGTACGTGTGCCTGTATGTGTGCTTGTGTGTGCCTGCATGTATGTATGCATGTGTGCCTGCATGTGTATGTGTGCCTGTGTGTGCTTGCATGTATGTATGCATGTGTGCATGTGTGTGTAGGTGTGCGTGTGTGCTTGCATGTATGCGTGTGCATGTATGTGTGCCCGCATGTGTATGTGTGTATGTGTGCATGTGCATGTGTGAATATGTGTGTGCCTTCATGTGTCTACGTGTGCGCATGAGTGTACCTGCATGTGTGCACCTGTGTGCCTGCACGTGTATGTGTGCACGTGTGTGCACAAGTATGTGCATATGTGCATGTGTGTGTGAGTAGGGACTGCTTTCCTATGATACAGTCACTATGGGGCAGGCCAAAGCTGCAGGGCCAGCCCTGGGGAACCCCCTCACTGGAATCAGAGGACCACAGCTATCTGTAGGTGAGGCTTTCTGGGGCCTGGATCTGCTCTCTGCCCCTCCAGCATTCTTTGTGACAGTGTCTGCTCCAGAGCCCTCCTCAGTAGAAGCTCTGGCTTCCTGGTGGTCCTGGAGGTCCAGGGAGGCCCGGGGGACCCTGGATCCCTGGTTCACCCTTAGGCCCCATGGCGCCCCGCTGGCCTGGTGACCCTGTCTTCCCTGCAATCCCCGGTTTTCCCTGAGGCCCTGAGGGCCCTGGAGACCCCGGGGGCCCTTCTGGTCCTGGGGGCCCCAAGTCCCCTTTCAGACCTGGCTGTCCTCTTGGTCCTCCGGTTCCAAAGCTACCCTTTGAGCCTTTGAGGCCTGGGAACCCTCGAGGGCCAATGGGGCCCCTTTCTCCCATAGGTCCAGTCTCTCCAGGTTGCCCCTGAGGACCCTGGGGTCCTGGGGGTCCCAAGCCACCGGGGTCTCCCTTCGGGCCTCTGCCACCAACAGGCCCTTTCACGCCCATGTCTCCTTTGAGTCCTCTTGGTCCTGGAGGGCCAGGGGCACCTGGGGTTGGAGAGAAGACAGAAGAGGTCAGTCTGTGAGAGGCTCCCCACCTGAGGCTCACCCACAGTGACAGCCCAACGGTTGGACAAGCCCAGTGGACACTCATTTCTCCCTGCACACGCTCAGGTTAGGGACTAAGGGGCTGGCCAGCTTCGAGAATGGGCCAAGGTTGTCCAGGATTGCCTGTCCTGCTCTGAGGCCAGTCTGACCTTCTGTACCTTCTCATACGTGGTCTTTGACTGCTGTATTCACCCCCACCCCACCCTCATGACTTCTCAGACATTTGGGGACAGTGTTGGAAACAGGTGACATTGAGGAGAAAGCCAAGAAAGTGGGGCATGAGAAATAGGTGTGTCCCAGTGTGAGTAAGCGGGCACAGTGACAGCCCAGAGAAAGGTCAGTTCCTCCGGAAGCCCACCCTCATGACTCCAGCCTCTTTGCTGAGCTCTTAAGGCTACTACGTTGTAAGTCTTTCACTGATGCATAGAAAGAGAAGTCACAGCACAGTGAAAGCAAACACTGAGTACCTGTCGGGTGGGCCTGCTAAACTGTGCAGCCCAGGAAGACGGCAGAAGCCGTGGCTCACAGCCCAGCCCTGGACACAGAGCCTGGCATGCGGTCAGGAAAACTCAGCATGTGCTTGAAGAGGGTGATTCACCAAGCAGCTGTGGACTCTCCTACGAGCCGGGCTCTGCATAAGGGCCTGCAGGAGATGTCAGGATGAAGATATGGCCCTTCCTTAAGAAGCCCAGTCTAGAACCCAGGACAGGGGTCTGATGAGCTCACGTCCTTCTGGCTGTGTGGGTCCGAGAGTTTCCACCCCTCACAGCTGTGCCAACCCTGAGGACACAAGGCAGAAAGGGCCTCTGCGGGGAAGGGATCCTGCATGCTGGGAGCTGGAAACCCTCCACTGCCATATCCAGTTCTGTGGCACAGGCCCCTTCATCCTGGCTGACGTGACCTGAGCCCTCTGCTGTCCCCCTCTCTGTTTTCTTCCCAGAGTGTTTCTAAGTGGAGCCGCGTCAGTGAATACGTCCTCTATTATGACCTAAACTGGAAACCAGAGCCCAGACAGAGCCAGCCCCACCAGAGCCAATAAAAACCTTCCAGTCAGTTCCCTGCCACTGCCTGCCCTTGCCCACCCCTGCCATGGGGATGTGGCCCTGCATGGCTCACGTGGCCCGGCAGCAGCAAGGCTGAGATTCCATTGTCAAGTGACCCAGGCATGAGGGGTGGCCAGCAGCAGTGGCAGCAGCCTGGGCTCAGAGAAGCCAGGAGGCAGGAGGTGCCCTAAGTCTGCAGGAGCCCCTGGCAGCTCAGCAGCTAGAGTGCCATGGGCCCAGGCTGATGCCTGTGCAGGAGCCGCCTCACCAGCCTGGCAGGACCGGCAGGGAGCCAGCACCGCCACAGCGTCTGTCTTCACCCTACCTCCGCTCCTGGTGCCTGGGCCAGCTGAGGCTGGGAAACGCAGAGAGCCATGCAGAGGCAGAGGCCCCCGAGGCTGTTGGCGGTGCGGCAGTGCTGGAAATACCGCCCCGTTCCAAAACTCAGATTTCATCCCCAAGACTGCAAGCTCACTCAGCTTCCAAGGGCCCTGCAGCTCCGTGACTCCTTCTCCTGGAAGAGGAGGAGGACCCCAGAGCCCTTTTCTAAATAGTGCTTCAGGGTCCCCACTGAGCGAGAAGGGGACTCAGAAGGCTGCCTTCCTCAGGTGAGCAGGGTCCGCCTGTGCTGTGGGCCAGCCATGAGTCATGCAGGCAAAGGACTGTAGCAGGCGTGACCTGGCCAGGCAGGAAGTCAACAGCCATCGTTTAGCGGTTAGTGTGGGGGCAAGGAATGTGGGCAGAGGCTGACCAAGGCGCCTCCAGGTCGGGGTACCACTGACCCAGCCAGTACCAAGGCAGAGGTGAGAGGCAGAGGAGAGGAGGGCTAGTGGCTGCTGTGAGCTGAAGGAAGGCACCTCAGGCACGAGGGAGGCACAGCAGCAGTGGCTGAGGTGTGGGGCTGGGAGAGGAGCCTTGGAGTCCCGCGGAGGTGGAGGGTGGCCATGATTACTCAGGAAGCCACAGGCTGTAATCAGGCTCTCCAGGCCCATTAGGGTCCAGCCACAGCTGACCTCACGTCTGGGACCCTGGGGTGGCCGGCTCTGTGCTCTGCGCTTGGGATAGAGAGGAGGGTGGGGTGAGCAGAGTGCCCAGTGTCTCGGGCATCAGCCCCTGCCCGCCCATGGGAGGGGCGGTGCCTGTCCCAGGAAGAGCCCACCATACATCTCATGGTCAGAGGCAAATGGCTGGCTTACAAGGACAGAAGAAAACCAAACAAAGGGGTGCCTCTGGGGGGACAGGCCTGGGACCCTGGGAGGCACACTGGCGTGGACATCGGGTGCCCAGTGTTTGAGTGCCAGTTCTCACATTAGCAAAGCGGGTGGCTGGGGCTCAGGCTCCCCTCCGCTCCATGAGAATACTGGCCTGGCTCAGGGACCCTCACACCTGCTCACTGCCAACTGAGGGCCGTTAAAAACGTGCCCATGGGCTTCTACTTCTGCTCAGGGTGGATGAGTCTATGACTGACTCCTCCTCCTACGGAGAACAGACAGAGCTGCTAGAGAAAGACCAAAACATCTTTCTGGAGGCGTTGGAGGGATACCAAGGCCAAGATCCCGGAGAAGAGAGGACTCGTTGAAGTCAGCCTGACATCTTTTCCTCTCCAGACATTTGTGGATTCCTAATTGGTTTGGGCAGAGAGGGTTAGAAGCCAACGCACGGCTGCAGCTCTTAGGCTGAGAAGCTAAGTGGAGTTTTCAGCAGCTCTCAGGACTGAGAGAACAAAAACCAACTCAGGGCCACCGATCCCTCTCCACTGCCACCTCCCCGGGTAGCTCCTTGGCTGTGGACAACAGAATGATAGGACTGTCTCTGCTTTTTCCTCCCTCACATGTAAACTCCTGAACAGGGCAGGATGTGGGGTGGTGCTTACAGAACACATTTGCAGACTGGATCTCTTTGTCTCTTGCCCATCTTGGGCTTCTACCTTTTGTTCACATGTTCAGTTATTCATTCACCAAGCAAACATTTCTTGTACTTTCCAAGAGCCAAGCACTCTGCTGGGTCCTCAACGAGTAATGCAAGGAGCCTAGGTCTCCAAGCGGTTTAGCACCGTGATAATTCCTTATGCGGGGCACCTGTTTATATTTTACAAGAACTTGTTCATACCCATTCTGAACACTGGTCCTCACAATTACCGCATGGGATATAGACAGGAAAGGCATTCATATTTCCATTTGCAGATGAAGAAACTGAGTTCAAAGTATGGCTGGGTGTGGTGGTGCATGCCTGTATTCCCAGCACTTTGGGAGGATCAAAGTGGGAAGACTGCTTGAGCCCAAGAATTTGAAACCCATCTGGGCAACCAAGTGAGACCCTGTCTCTACAAGAAAGAAAGAAAGAAAGTAGCCAAGAGTCCTGTCCCAGGCCATTTAGCTAATAAGTTATGATGGTTTTAGTCTACAATTCCCAAATGATAGTCCTAACACGGACACTGCCTAGCACAGACACCAAAATTACCCTACAGAGTAGGAAGAGATAAATGTTTTATGAGAGGCACAAACATTATGAAAGTACCACAGGCTTTCTGTCCCGTAAATAGGGGCTTAGAATTAATTAAAGCTGGATTAGTCTCAGAGATCAGCCAGTCTTACCCCTTCATTTACAGATGAATGAAGCCGAGCCCTGGAGGGATGAAGTGATTCTGCCTAAAGACCCAGAGCACATCAGAAGCCAGGCTTCTTGCCTGTGCAGTCTCAGAGTTCTAACCCATCCATCAGGTCTTGGCACCTTCCACGCAGCTCTGGCCACTGCAATCCCTCTCCCTTTATTCCAGATAGCCGCTCAGCTCTGGACAGGTGGAGACTTCATTGCCAGCTCCTGTGTCAGAGTCTATCAGTGCCTGTCTCTGGATGAATAAATAAATGACCAGGTCCCCAAAGGAAGGGATGTGCATTGTGTTCCTGAAATTTGCTTTCCAATGTGAGAGATGGTACATGTGAATTTAACAACCAGGGGAAAGGCTAGCCAGTAGACACAACTTAAACAAAGGTGCAGACGTTGAACCAAGACTCAGATATAGCTCAGACAGATGCCCCGCCTTGCTCTGTGCATGACTAGGACAGCAGCATATGTAAATTCCCAAGAGTACTATTGGGTTATACTTAAACCAGTTCTCCTGTCAACACTTTTGGTGCCATCTCCCTCTTACTCACTCCCTGCCTCACACCGTGTACCTTAGAAGGACCTGAGCAGAAATGTCTTGTTGGTCTCTAGAAACTCATGCTCTCGGCATCTCCTTTCTTGGGTAGGCACTGGATGTGTAAGTGTTAGAGCATGGGGGAGGGGTCAGGATTTTGAATCAGGGTGACCTTGTGTTTGCTCCTTTAAACTCCCTCCCCCATCCTCAGATTATTTTTCTATAAATACAGTCACCAACATTTGCCTTGTTTACCATGCAAGGGCTGTTGTGAGGCTGAAATTAAGCAAAGTAAATAAATGGGCATTGTGATCAGGAAAGCTTTAAATTGCCTTTGTTCTTGGGTGGAACTCAATAAAACCACACATTTGCCAGGGGCTGAACCATAAGAACTGTTTGCTCATGACCTTCCCTGGAACACTGTGCCCTAGAGGTCATGCACATACATATTTTAGGTGAAATACTGTGGGAAGATTTCCGTTACCATGTCAGGGGATGGGAAATAAATTTGATGAAAATTCAAGAGCCTTCCACCTCAGTGAAATTTCCAGAGGTCGGTGGTATGGGTATGTGGAGACAGATATCCCTTCTAAGATGAAAAATTAGTTGTTGTATCAGGGCATTCCTAAAACCAAAAAGAAAGCACAATGCCTAGTGGGCCGATTTGGACTTTGGAGGCAACATATTCCTCATTAGAGTGTGTATTCCTACTTATTTGCCAAGTGACCTGAAAAGCTTCTTGTTTTGAGTGGGACCCAGAACAGGGGAAGGCTCTGCCTGTGGCAGAGACCGCCACTGAGTCCCTGACATGGCACCATTCCCCAGGGTAATCTGCCAGCTACCTGGTGGCAGGTTGATTACACTGGACCATTTCCATCATGGAAAGGGCAGTATTTTTACCAGAATAGACGCCTGCCCTGAATATAGATTTGCCTTCCCTGCACACAATGCTTCTGTCAAAACTACCCTCTGCAGACTCACAGAATGCCTTATCCACAGTCATGGTGTTTACACAGCATTGCTCCTGATTGGGGAATTCATGTCACAGCAGACGAAGTGTGGCAATGGGGCCGTGTTCATGGAATTCACTGGTCTTATCATGTTCCCATCATCCTGAGGCAGCTGGCTTGATGAAACAGTGGAATGACCTTTTAAAGACTCAGTTACAGCACCAGCTAGGTGGCACTACCTCTCAGGGCTTGGAAAGGTTCTCCAGGAGGCGGTATATGCTCTGAATCAGCATCCAATACATACTGGTGCTCTCCCAAAGTCAGATTCACAGGTCCAGAAATCAAGGGGAGATAATGACAGTGGAACTCTTATTCTTATACTGGTGGCTCACTGGAATATTTTTGCTTCCTGTTCCTATGACCTTGTATTCTGCTGGGATAGAGGTCCAGTTCCAAAGGGAGGGATGCTTCCACCAGGAGACACAACCATGATTGCACTGAACGGGAAGTGAAGACTGCCACCTGACCACTCTGCGCTCCTCATGCCTCTAAATCAACAAGCAAAGAAAAGACTTCCTGTGCTGGTGTGGGTGACTGATCCTCACTGCCAAGGGGAAACTGGATGCTACTCCACGAGGGAAGTAAGGAAGAGGATGTCTGGAATAGAGGAGATCCCACGGGGTGTCCCATAGTATTACCATGCCCTGTGATTAAGGTCAATGGAAAGTTCAACAACTCCACTCAGGCAGAAATACTGGTAGCCCAGATCCTTCAGCAGGAAGGCTTGGATCACCCCAGCAGGTAAAGAACCAGGACCAGATGAGGGGCTTGCTGAAGACAAAGGGAATACAGAATGGGGAATGGAAGAAGGTGGTGATGAATATCAGCTATGGCCACGTGACTAATGATTGCAACAAGGACTGTCGCTGTTATGGTATGTCCTCCTTATTTTTATTTTATTTCTCCATTCAGACATTCTGAATGTAATCAGTCCTCCTTATTTTTTAGTGAATATCTCTGTGTGTGTGTGTGTGTGTGTGTGTGTGTGTGTGTGTGTAGCCAACCATTTTGTTTTCTTTCTTCTCTTATTTCCTTATTGTGTAACACAACATGTATCTACTTTATAGCATAGTTAAATATTGTTAACTTTACTAGTATTTAAGTTATAGGGTATAAGCAAAAAAATAAAATTCACTCAAGGACTTTAACTCCTCTTCAGGGGTAAGTATTCATATGTTTTTGATTGTACAAAGGAGAGTTGTATCACATTAGGTGGAATTATGACCTTGCTTGTTGTCTTTATTTGGAGATTAAGTATGGTTTAAGGAGATGTGGACGGGGGCCAAGTTGACAAAGTGTGGGCTTGTGGTGGTTAATTTTACGTGTCACCCTGACTAGGTCAGATATTTGGTCAAATATAATTCTAGGACCTTCTGTGAGGATATCTTAGGGTAAGATTAACATTTAAATAGGCAGCCTGGGTCAAGCAGGTTGCCCTCCCTAGCATGAGTGGACTCATCTAATCAGCTGACGGCCCGAGTAGAACAAAAACCTGAGCCTCTTCCAAGTAAGAAGGAATTCTTCCTGCCTGATGGTCTTCAAACTGGAACGTAAGCGCTGTGGATTTTGGACTTGCCAGTCTTTCTAATTACATGAGCCAATTCCTTATAATATTCGTCTGTCCATCTATCTATCTCCATCCTATCTATCATCTCTCATCTCTAGGTCTCATCTTTATCATATCTATCTATATCATCTCTGTCTGTCTATCATCTATGTATCTCTATACGCTATTGATTCTATTTCTCTGGATCTATCTATCTATCATCTATCTCTATACACTATTGATTCTGTTTCTCTGGATTGATATCTACCTACCTACCTATCTCTATACACTATTGATTCTGTTTCTGTGGATCTATCTATCTATCTATTATCTATCTATCTATCAATCATCTATCAATTATCTATCTATCTATCTATCTACCTACCTATCATCTATCTATCTCATACACTGTTGATTCTGTTTCTCTGTAGAACCCTGATAGATATGGAGGACATGAAGGAGATGGGAGGAGGAGAATGTGTCAGAGCGACAGCCTCCAGGGGCAGAGGGTTGGGTGGTTGGAAGCATTAATGAGGGTGTGGGAGGGGAGAAAAGAAGAGGAGACAGTTTTCAAAAGACATGGTTAAACAAATCTAAATATAAAAGTCTAGATTTGTATAACAGGCAAAGTTAGACGCCACAATACCTTTGCAAAAGAGGTTTGCAAAATGTTCTTTTTCTTTTCTCACGCTCTCTCTCTTTCTCTCTTTTTTTTAGAGATAAGGACTCACTCTGTCTCCCAGGCTGCAGTGCAGTGGTGCAATCATAGCTCACTGCAGCCTCCACCTCCTGGGCTCCAGTGATCCTTCTGCCTAAGCAGCTGGGAGTATAGGTACACACCACCATGCCTGGATAATGCAAGAACATTTCTTAAAGCTGCCTATTGCTCTAGGCATTTGCTATAGGATTGTGTTAGCTCACTAGTACTGTGCTTAAAACCAGGTACTTCTGTGTCCAGCAAGATCACCAAGGCTCAGTGGAAGCTTTGTAGCAGCCCTGCCTGGACACAGCTCTTACCTCGTATGATGGTGACATTGCGAAGGATTTCTCCATGCTGTGTGTCCACCGCCTTCATCTCCTCCACGATCATGGAGAGGTTCCGGACGTTGAGGTCCAGCCGGGCACTGAGCAGGCTGAAGCGCTCTCGGAGCAGGTCTGTGGTGCCCAGCATGAGGGAGACGGACTTGTTCAGGTAGTAGAGCTCCTCGGCATGGGTGTGGAAGCCCAGCGTGCAGGAGAGCCGCACGTCGTCCAGGTACTTGAGCATGCTGTGCACGTGGTTGTCGGTGGCATTGATGTTGGTGAAGATGGTACCAATTTCGATCTCGTGAGAAGCCATGCGTCCTTCCAGAGACTCAAACCTCTCCACAGTGCGGTTCTGGGCATAGCGGGTGTGATACTGGAGATCATGCATGTTCTCCTCATGGTCGTCCAGGAGGGACGAGATGTTATCCAGCTGCAACTGCAAGCCCATGACCTGCAGTACCAAGTCATGCATGCTCTCAGAGTTCTGGCTGATGCGCTGTGAGGAGGCCCCCAGGGTGGCCTGGATGTTCTTGACTGCCTCTCCAGTCTTGGTGGAGGTGGTACGCAGGCCACTGAAGAGCCGGGTGTAGTTCTGCCAGTCAGTGACAATCTTCTGGAGGGTCAGGGTCTCCTCGTCCGTCTTCCGCTGGATCCCGTGGATCCACTCGGAAGTCTGCCCCACGGTGAAATTGATCTGGTGCACTGCAGCCTTGACATCGTAGCATTCCTGGGTGAGGTCCTTCAAAGAGAGGTCCAGGCCAGCTGTGGTGGCCTGCCAGCCTCTCACCTGGGCCAGGAAGAGCCCCAGAGACTGGTTAACCTGGTGGATGGAGAAGGAGCAACTACCCATCTCCTGCGAGATCTGCCTGCTGGTGGTGGAGAGCACCTCCTGGGCCTGCAAGGTCTGGTCCAGCTGCACCTCCTGGGCCAGGAGCAGCTTCTGAATTCCCTCCAGCTCCTCCTGCAGTTTTTGGATCTCGGGCCCCAGCTGCCCAGCTTCATGGCAGAAAGAGCAGTTGTTCAGGGCTTTTGGATCTTTAGGAGAAAGAGACAATAGTTTGAGTTCTGAAGGGCCATGGTACAACGCTTCCTCTTTAAATATTTCAGAGCCTAAGGAATTGGTAAGTAGCTTCCCAAACCTGCTTTCTTCCCTAAGTCCTGGTATAAAATCCTTCTTGGAAAAGCCTTGCCACCTCTATGGAATCTCATTTTTACCAACTGTCTTGACTCTGATCTGAAATGTAGCATTTAGGATGTTTTCTTCTTCTTACCACCAAATTCTCAAGAATATATCTTCATAATTTGTCTTAAGTGGCCAGAAACTTCCCATTTAAACTTCATTTAAAAATGTATGCCGATATTTTAATATCTGTTATCTTATTTAATTCTCTTACAATGATAAATTTGCAGAGAAGGTGGCATAGGGATTTTTGACTTCTGACTCATGAGGAATGAGGCGCAGAGAAGTGGCTTGGCAAATGGCCACATATATTGGTGGCAGACAGGTACCTTTTATTTGCATCAGAGAAGACCCTCACTAAACCTTCTATCATTGCTCCTTCTGTCTCATTCTCTCTTAGATTGTTCCCGGTTAAAGCAGGAGATAAAGAACATCAAGAATTGTGGCATGACCTAAGCAAATTAACGGAAGAACAGAAAACCAAAGACTACATGCTCTCAAGTATAAGTGGGAGCAAGGTTGAATACATGTAGACAGAGAG